TACTACAAGAAGTATTGTAATGGTAATGATGCGCTACGTGCTGTGTATCCTCGCTCTCCTGCTCTCCTGTGCGTGTGTGCACGTCCTCGCTGAAGAAGTGCCTGCCGCCGATCTTTCCGACCAAGTCCCTGATACGGAGAGTGAGACAAAGATTCTTCTTCAAGGTACTCCTGTTATTCGTGATGCTCCTGGTTCTCAGTGCCCTGAAGAGAAAAGTAAATGTACCAACGATCATCAAGATCCAGCCGCCGATCTTTCCGACCAAGTCCCTGATACGGAGAGTGAGACGAAGTGGCCTAATGATCAACCTAAAACTCATGAAGGTGCTTGTCCTCCTACTGGACAACTACAAGCTACACAAAGCCTTCAAGGTACTTCTCCGTGCACTAATGGTACTGAAGCTTCTGCTAATCTTCAGACATGTCCGAAAAAGCCCGAAGTTCCTCCTGCTAAAGTACCTGAAGTTCACCCCGAGCAGACTGCTTCTCAAGACGAAAGTAACGGTCATGGTAAAGATGCTAAAGAAGCTGGGCGTCCTGCTGGTCCGCATGGTGAAGTTGGTGTGCCTGGTGCTGTTCATCAGGTAGTAAAAGGTGAAGCTGAAGATTCTGGGGACCTAAGTCATGGTACTACAGGAGGAAAAGGTACCGGAGCTGGTGATGTTGGTGGTTCTTCTCCTACTCCACAGGATAGTCCAACTCCTGCTTCTCCTGTTGATGGGAGTAGTGTGGCTCCAGTCGAGGGTCAAAATGGAAACAGCGGCAGCAGTCCAACAGGAGAAACTACATCTACCCAAGGAGGTGAAGCAGCAGAAGAAACTTCTTCCTCTCCTACCAATACTTCAGAGATTGAGAATGCTACTGATGCTGATATTGCATCGACTGAGAACAACACTCCTGCGGCAGGGAGTGAATCAACAAATAACCAAGAAGGTGATGCAGAAAATACAGAATCAACCAGAACAAACTCCACAACAACAACACTTCCTTCTGAACTCACAAACAACAAGAAGGGTGATGCAGACAGCAGCAGCAGTATCAGCAGTTCTGTGTGGGTGCGTGTACCACTACTGATTGTGGTTACACTGGCCTGTATTCTTGTGTGCTGATTTTAATGGTGGTGTGGTAGTGGTGTGACTCAGGTCATCCTTTGTTTTCTTTTTTCCTTTTTTTGCATGCATCCACACTACAGTCTAACTAATCTTCCACCTGTTGGGATATTTTTCTTTTTTGTTTCTTATTGATATTGTGTGTTTTGTGTGTGTTTTTGCTCTCTATGTGTTTTTATCCTATAATAATTATTATTGCTACTCCATTGTGTGTGTGTGTGTTCTTGGAGACTCTCTCTCTGTGTGTGCATCTGGGCTTGCACTGTGATGATGATGATGAACTGCTTTTTGTAGAGGGAAGGAGGAAATAATAATAACAGATGAATTTATATTTATACTTGCGTATATATACACAGATATAGACTTACACCCATAGTTGGTGTATATATCTGTGTTTACTGGGTAAATTGGGCTATTGTTTAATATCTGTTTCTTTGTTTATTGTTTGCTGGGGTGGTTGTGTGTTTTGTGCCCTGCTTCTCTGATGTTGATTTGCTCTGGGAATTAATAAAACTAATAAATGAAGCATTTATATTCATAATTGCATAGGACCTCAAGCATGACTGGTGTTCAC